TCGACATGTCGTCTTTCATTTTCATTTCAACTTTTAGTGGGTTGATAGATGAATTTTTGAGACATTCACACCCAAAGCAGACTACCCCTAAAATGAAGGAAATTTCACTGCCCGAAAAGGTAGTCATTTTGAAAATGCATCCATCTGCAAAACGGCTAAATAGTACCGCTTTCGGACCCGATTGCATCCAAATTGCCCAGAAGTGAAAACCCGGAGTTCTGGGCCAGAGGTTCAGTGCCATATTTCTTCAATTCCCAAGTTCCATGGCTCCTGGACCCTCTAATATAGAATGTTTTGAACGCGTAATTTTTATTAATGAGCTCGGTGGACATATTTCTTACTTATTATTTTACCTGGGTGCACCCTTATAAAGTTTTGCGAATCAATAGATCGCTTTGAAGTCCAAACTCCTTTTAAATTATGGAAACTTGTACTATTTAATCCTAAAGATTCTATGTGATCTGAAACCTTGTGGCGTACATGTACGTATCCAGCCGGGGAGACATTTCATTAATTTCAGGAATTAAAGTGCCTGCATAAACGGCACAATGAAGCTCCTTTGCACAGTCGATATCACTACCACACTTCTTCCGAGGGTAAAAATTTGTTTTTGGATTTGAAAGAAAACATCCAATAATGCCGACTTAAGACCTAGATGCATCATTGGGTAAAACTACTTATTAGTTTTCTTTGTTAGCAATATTCACTTAATGTCCATGTTGAGACCGAAAGCCAGAAAAAATAATCACGTGCATTACTTAACTTGAACATATATTTCCTGGAAAATCACAAATTAAATTGCCTTTGTGAGTTTGACATCAGTGGCTTGAACCCAATTGATGTCTAAGATTTGAAATTTCCAACATAGTCAATCCGTTTTTCACAAAGAATGAACATCATGTGGTGTCCCACGTGGGGGGAGGAACTTAGGATCAAATTGATCAATTTTATTTCACTAAAATAGTTACAATTTAACTGAAGTCTTTGGATATACAGGTGTATCAGTTTCAAATGTATTCATCCATCAGAGCTTAGGAACGGATGCGGGCTTTTGCTTATGCGTATCCTCATTGCCTTTCACACTGATACTCCTACCACTTCATATTCGGTGGTAGGTTTCCTTGAGACCTTCTCAGAGTCATGGGGTTGGCTTTTGCTCATTGATTCAACTGCCTGGTAGTACGTACGCTGCTCATTAGATGTCGCTTCTACGTCCAGTCCCATGTATTCCTTGTTCTTGTCATCCTTGGGTTGTAACTCCATGTAGGGATCCGCTTTGTGAGTCTGGGTTCCCTGTTGAATGAGGTTCTTGAGGCGCAGTGAAAGGACCGTCGGGGAAACAGATAGGGTAGATGGCAGCGGGGAAGTAAAACACTTGAAAGAAAGAACTGGCAAATCCCAGTTCAGTAGCACTGTCGCTATCTGATTGTCTGATGCGACAAAAGTAGTCACCAGAATCATATTTATTTAATTTGTCAATAGTAAGTACTTCACTCATGGATGTTTGAGGGGATAGAGTTATGCCGTATTTGTTGAGTTCAAGCTCACCCCGGTCCTCGCAATCCGCACTTCGTGGTTCATAACCAATCTTGACCATTGCAGGGCATTTCCAGGTTGCAGCTGGTGACCGTCACATTTCAGTTGCACTGTGTCACCCTCAACTGGATCGGCCGAGGAATATTTTATGAAACTCACATTTTGTCCGTTATCTCCAACAAATGGACTGCTATGCACCGAATACCAAACACACAGGAGTGAATATGACCTGAAGGAGCGAGACTGTAGCTTCAGGGTTATAGCAGAAAACATGAGGCTTACTGAAGAGAAAGTGCTTATTCAGCGCTCGTATATCTTGCATATAAACGTGAAGAAGATTCTTGGTTTATACACGGTACGGGCACTGCACTCCATTATCGAATCATAAGTTAAAGCTGTTTCCATGTTTAGGTCGTACCTCAGATAAGTTGTGCGCAGTGACCCGTGTGTCATTCAACACGATGGAAACAACATGGTGAGTCACCTCCAGTGTTCATGTTTCTGAGAAGTCTCTGTCTGTGAATCGACTTTTTCTGAGTTGTGTAAATTTGCTGGCAATTAAAAAATGCAAACATTGGACTCTTTGAAAGACTTCTTATAGATTTATTTCAGATTTAAATACTTGGATTTTGATGTGTTGGATACTTTCTGTCTAAGTGTTAGGGACGGTTTATTCTTCGCGTGAAAGCGAACTCTTTTTTATTGCTTGAAAACCCACACCAGTGAAACGACGATTCGCTTTGCAAATTCATAAATGTTGTCACATTCCAGCCCCAGCGAAATTTTGTGACGTCAATTTCGCTTCGCTTTCGCATCCGCCTGAGTGGGAACCGGCCTTTACATGCTGTGAAAACTGAAAACAAATGCATGTACTTTTGACGATGGAAAAGTTTATAAACCTGATATTAATGATACAAAATCTGAAAATCTTAATTCTATGAATTTAAACCCTTTGTCATCATTTGTAAACATGAATATTTTTACTTCAAACATATGTCACATTGAATTGTTTTCAACACGAAGTTGAGGTCTAAGTTCCATTTAGGATCATGCTTGAAGTAATCTGCTAAATCCTGCTATCCATTATCATCGTTTTATTTGGGATTTTAAGGGGCTATAAGATCAGAGAGGAGATCTTTCAAATATTGCGATATTTATTTTCCTTCTCCATCTGCTGGTTCTTCAACCTCTTCATATGCTGTGTCGACGTTTCTGATTGGCTGCTCATAGTCACTCCCTGTGCTATTCTGCTCTGTAGTACCATCCGCTTGGTAGTAGGTGTGCTGTATCATCGGCGGTTTCATTGCCTCAGGTTTCATGTACTCCGTATTCCTGTCACGAGTCGACTGCAGTTCCATGTATGGTTCAACTTGTGATTGGTCAGTTTCCTCCTGAGAGGGATTGTTGAGATTTCGTGTTTTGATGAAGAAGACATTGATTGTGATAGACACAATGAGTAGGCTGAGGATAACAGCGAAGGCGATGATCCATGGAACACGAAATGCTTGACTTGGCGCTGGTTGATCCGTGGTGATATTTGTGTTTGACTCGTTAGCAGGTTGTGTTGGGAGTTGTGGAGATGTCATTCGGTCCGTCATTGTATCTTGATCAAGAGAGACAGAGTGTTGAATGGGTTGATCTGTGACTGGCGATGTGGTTGAGGTTGTTGAAATTCGTGTATGCGGGCCCGTTACAGTGATTGGCCCGATGTTGCAGGATCTGTCGACGTCATTTCTCGGGGGTAGCGAGGTTATTCGGCATTGTATAACAGTCCCATCATCTGCTGCCCCCAACGTCAGTTCCTGCCACCGCATTTGTATGTGACCAGCAGAAGTCCTGTACATCCATTCACGAGTCATCCCAAAAAATTGTACAGGCGGGTTGCCTATCTCTGTAGTACAGCTCCTATTTATTTTGGTTCCTTCTTGGGCACTGAATGGTCCATTGGGAAAGCAGATGGGGTAAATGACAGACGGGTCGTACAGCACGGATAAATATAAGGAGTCGTTTAAAACAGCATAGCCATTGATGACATTTGTTATACCACAGGTGTAAAATTCGTTGTCTTGTCCACTGGCACTGAACAACAGCACCTCATTTCTCGCTTGTGGTGAATTGACTGCTACATTAACTGTGTACCTTGAATCCAAGCTAGTCCCGTTTCTTGCAATTGTCATGGGGTGAGTCAAAGATTTCGACCAAACGAGGAAATAACCTGTTGGGAGGAGAGTTGATTCACAGGATAATTGTACCAGTTCGCCTTGGTTGACAGTGAACTCCAGCGGAGATAGTCGACTGATACGAATCGTGGGTGTAGCCAACCCAGTCACCATATTGCCTGGATTAATGTCAGATCTCCAAACACACAGCACGAGTAGAAACAAAAGACAATACCCTAGATCCATGCTGACTGGAAGCTGTTTCTTGAATAGTGTTGTCACTCTCTGACGAGATAGGCTGAGAAAAATTACATCTGCTTTCAAGCTTTGTTATGGGTGGAAGTATTCGTGGCACTCAGGTCACGTAGCTTTTTTATTCGGTCAGGACAGGCCTGTGTCACGCTCAATTGATTTCACTTCAGAGAAACGACACAGGAATTTGACCTGATGACGAGCGTTGGTCAGTTTTTTGCTTTAAAGTGTTCTGCAAAAAAAGGTTACTCCGCAAATCAGAATTGTGTTTGAGTAATCTAATATAGAAAATTAAGAAAATGTATAATACAAAGGTCATGTACAGCTATCATCTGATCTATATACCGAATGGAACAAGAAACACTACTTTCAAGCAGCAACTTTGATCACTTTTCTAACTATGTTTACATTTTGTATTGATTGCGTATTGGGAAAACTTTCTAAATATGATCGTAGACGTCACCTTTCTTGAGTTGGTTTAAAAATCATTTCTGCAGTTCAACTTGTACCCTAAATAGACACTTAAGCCGTATCCGCGTAGTTTGGCCTCGGCTTGAGGTTACACACGCTCTATAGGTGCTGACTGCAGTCACTGTTAGCCTTGTGCGTAATTCGAATCTCGGCCATGTAATTCCGACACAGCGTTAGACAGTATTTTCAGCGCTTTTCCTCGAACTGCGACCCAAGGTACACGCTTGTATTTACAACCCAAGCTGCAATCCTTTATATCTTCTCAACCAACCGTGATAACTCTGTATGGTACAGTGCTAAGGGTACCAATTGTTGGGATTGGCAGTAGCTGAAAGAGCTTCCATAATGACAGACCCACCTTTTCCAGTTTCACTTTTCCGTGTTCATGTCTTCACATGTATACGTCCTTTCATTATGCCTTGCCTCATGTCACTTTGTTGTTTGCGATATTACGGGAAGTGTTAATTTTACAGTACAATTAGGTTCTTCTGTTTTCCATCTTTTTCAGTCGTTGTGCTTATAATGCTTCTGTGACTGTTCTTTTAGAGACTTTTCCATTCAGCGACAATGACGCAAGAGATCCCAGTTTTAACACAACTTTTTTCCATCTTTTATTCAAATAATCAGTTTGTGTTTCGGTTTTTGTACCATTTCGGTTGAAACATAACTGTATGCTTTTCTGTGATAACATACAAAAATACATCTTTACAATCTATTTTGAATTCTTAAGAATGAAAATATATTATTAAGCTGTTAGATCCCAACTCTGTACATATACACATTAAAACCTAATGACATTGCCACATACAATCATCAGTCGTGAGAGGAATACGAAAACTGCTAGATGACAACTACTCTACCTATAATTCACAACTCCTCATGATAATGCCGCATACCATCACACCTTTATGAATATTGAAATATTAAAATTGCTACACCACAACTGCTCTACCCCTACACATCCTCATAGTGGGATGCTATAACTAGTAGATTACACATACCCTCATACCGGTAATGTACGGAATTCATTATTGCTATAACTACACGTCCGAGAATGAAACGGTTACATGGTCAGAGCTGTCACAACCACGAGTGTAAAAGATCTGGTCAGGTTCCATCATCAGTTATAAATAATGTTTCTTTCCATCATATGCCAGAGGATCTTACCATCCAGCATCTTAAAGCTAAACGGACCTCGACGTGTAGTAGAGAGTATAGGACACTACAAGTGTACATTTTATTTCACTAATGAAATAACAAAGAAATGGAAATGTTATCAACAAAAACTGCTGCACATAGATAACTGGCTACAGTACTCAACATATTCAAATCGAAAACCTGTCTCTAATCTAATTGAGTACAGTAGTTTGTCATTACATTGATGGGTAAAGAGAACAATTTTATTGCACCCTCTCTGATATTGATATCCCTGTACGCCATGTGCTCTCTGAAGGGTCTTTGTGTCCAACGTGAAGGTCTGGTTCTGCCGTCCATGATGCCATTTTCATACAACGTCATTTGCATCTGCATAAGATGAAAATGAATAGGCTGTGTATCATTCTTTGCTTTTGTGGAAATGGTGACCTGACTCACATTTCAATACTTTTGTAAAGTCTCAACTTTATTGTCAAACTTCACTGCCAAACGTTCGTGTACTCCGGCCTTTGCATGGATTACGAGAAGATGAATTGCGGTATTAAACATTTCTCGTGGAAGCAATACTTAGGCTTAATATGCAACCCGTACAAATTGTACTTACCATTTGGCCCTCTGCCATTTAAGAATGCATTACCCTCTCCGTTGTTTTGTTGCATTCTGGGTTCTGTAAACAATTAATTCACACTAGACAAAAGTGGTAGATGTTGCAGTCCGTTAATTCACTAATAGTTTCGGGCAATTCATGCTAAAAGCTGATTGTCTGTTATAATGGATAGGTTTGATTAAAGACAACAACTTCGTATGGGGGCCTAGACCTTTTTCCTGTCATGTCACGATCGTGCTGGACCTATAATGTGTTGTGATGGTAATGAGTTCATAATGTTGTGATAATAATCTACCTGTTATGATAAACGAGAAAGCCTGCAGCGTTCGCACGTGCGCTTGCACGTGGTTGAAGCTGCCCGTAGGGGCAGTCACCGTGGCCAAGGCAATTCACACGTGGTGGTATTGTTTGCATTTAGTCACGTGGGTGAAAAAGGTCTATAATGACCGAAACGTTCAAAGTGACGTGCTGGCTAATGTATTCCTCCGTTCAGACTCTGGTTTGACAAGCGGATTCCTCTTTGCTCCCCTTCCCCCCAATCTCATGTAAGCCTTTCCTTATCAGCATTAACCCTAACAGTCCTCAGTCCTCCAACAGGTGAAGGATTGAGGACTGTTAGGGTTAACTTCTCCAAATGACTGCATTTCCCCAATCTTACAAGTGTTATTTTTCCACGACCACCTCGAGACTTAAAAATGGCTTATGGTAGACCCCTCCTGCAACTTCCTTAAATTAAGTAGCAGTCTCTAATTGTGTAGATTGTTAAAATATGAGGGAAACCGACTTAAGATAATGGGTGTTCTCATATTTGATGGTCATCCGACTGAATGGACAAACATGTACAGTAAAATTAGAGGGAACGGCAAATATAGCTTACCTTGTGGCCGTTCGTCTCGCAAGCCAACGTTGCGTCTGTTAAAAATGAAGACAAAATGAACCACCTTCTACCATTGAATCGTTATTTAATTGTTCCTCCGAGGCTTTATTTTTTCTTTTAAAAATAAGTTACTCGAGCATAAGGGTAAATTCAGTGGGGGAAATATTACTCATTTTATGATATAGGCCATGATTTGGAAGAACTGCAAATGGACAACATAGTTAATTCTTTTCAAGAAACGCTGATCTCTTACCTGATTTTACGTCGATCTATCATCAGGTAAAGCATAGCTACTGCAAGGGCAATGCACGCTGTCGACAGCACAAAAACTAAAATATGAAAAAAAAAACTGTCAAAATGCATGGCCTTCTGTGCGATACTGTATAGTAAAACCATAAGAATGCTGAAGTCGGAAGCTAAGTCCTTCCTCTGCCTCATTTGCAAGTAACTGGGTGAACACTGACAAATGTTTTAGCCAGAGTTCTCTGAATAGTTTGTGGTTTGAATTGCAACTTGATGGCTGATGGTGGATAGAGCACATGCAAGGCCTAGAACTTGGAATAGACTCAACGTGAGCACCCAGATACATGCACATGTACATGATATCTAAATATCATTCCTCAATTTACTCAAAGTTTAGTTGAAATAAAAAACCCACTTTTTAAGTATAGATACACTGACTGTGGATCATCAGAGATCAATGAAAGATGTTGACGTACCGTCGATACGTAGGCCATGATGGATAGGGTTCAGAGTAAGTGGTGGATGCGGTTTGTGACTTGGAGTAAAGCAAGGCGGATGTCTTGGTGTAACTTGACCCTCAGGGGTACTACTTAGCCCTAAATAAGGACATTAAAAATATCGTAGATGATGAGGGAAATGACAACGGTGAGCTTCAGACACTGTTAAACTATTGTTTTTTTTCAGCTTTCTAAATGAACCACTACATTTATTAAGACAATGGTGGCTTTATTGTATAAAATGTAGAACTATACTGCATTGAACTGTGGAATTGGAAGTATTGAACTGTGGTGCCTGCACTGATGTGGTGGCATCATGCAAAATGTAGGATGCTGAAAAGACCCTCCGGCTCATTTCAGAACCACACATGCTCACAAAAAATATTTGGCATGCTACCGCGAACCTTTTCTTTATTTTGCCACCTTTATCATGAAAAGCGTCAAAGCTCAACAAAGGTTTTACCAATTTTAGGATCCAATATGGAGGTCTCGTCGTTTCTTGTTATGTTTGGTACTGTTGCATTTGTTTGGCAGCGTGTGTCACTGTCTTTCTGGCAAGCTTCAATCTGTGGCGTATAGTAGGAACTTCAAGGTTTCAATTTACACGTAAATGAATTAGTTAACGTAAGCATTGTTCGTTAGATTATGTAGCCCTGCATTCAGTGCTGTGGCTTAGCTTAGGTGATCGTTACCTTTCCAATTAAAACGTGCTGAAACTCTACAAGTTATGACAAAAAGCTCAGTTTTTTAACCTCATAAACACCGAGGATGTATCTAAAATCACATCAAATCGGAGAAATGAGGAGTGAAAGGGCTATTAAAGTTTGACGTTATGCTGCGTGGTGACGATGTTTTGTCTTTGACAATATTTTTCTAGGATCATAAGCCTCTAACTATTTTTCGATTGCGTACTATGTATAACATGTGTAATACCTTTTCTTCGTTTTCAGTGCTGCAGACTGGACATTTTTTACATCGTGAACAGAAATTTCTACCGTCCATGTAGTGGATTGGTGGACATCTGGTACACTTTAATGTAGTGTTATCGAAGTATTTGCCTGGTGAGCAAACTGGATATGTTACGTTTCCTTTAACAAATGTTGACGTCCCACCGTCCTCTGGTCCGAACATGCATTCTGACAGAGACTGCAAGATGGGAACAAAGTCAGTGTCAGACTTTCAGCTTCCGTTCAGAGAAGTACTTACTGTTCTAAGAAATGTACACGAATCAAGCTTAGGAGGTTTCACAACAGACCAATTCACTGCATGTTAAGCAGTAAAGTGGAGGATATTGGGTGAAAAGAGAAAAATGTATGGGAAGATATTTACACATGAATCCTGAGGTAGTTACACTCTCCGAACGTTAGTTATTACCAGCTGAAAGGCCACAGTTGGTCAACAAAAGAAGGTTGGTTTAATTGTAATAAGTACATGTAGTTTTAAAATAATTTAACCATTTGTTGCTTAATACTGTTTTATCCAACCAATGCAAATTTGATCCATTTGGTTAGAGCCCTATGTTTTGGGCTTTTGTTTATTCTGAGTCACAGTAACAAATAGTCGGCGGATTTGTCCTCTTCTAAAATCAGCCCTTGTATTCGATACTAGGGGGAGCAGACAATGAACAGAGACAAATTTGCACAGTAACCTGCACTTAATTTGGCTGAATGCTGATTTCCTGATGTTTCATGAAGTTGCGTCACAAAGTTCTGTGCCAGCAAGAGTGAGCAATGGATAACCTCATACTTCTACTTCTGTTACATGTAGTTGTGCCAAAGAGGTTTTTTAATTATAACAAGCTGGCAAAGAAATTCTTTCAAAACATACTAAATGACTGTCATCAGTGGGACTTCTGACTGATTTGTGTGTCAGTGGCAAGAATTATGACTCTTTTCGCTGACTAATCATGTACAAATGGAGGGGGTCATGTGTTTTAATAGTTGAGACAGATTAGGGACAAAATGGCATATTGTGAGAGGCTTTTCTAAACTGCAGTTTCTTTTCAAGTAATCATGCTCTATTGGCTCATGCACTGATTTCAAAAGTAATGAAAATTTGTGTACTTTGGGGTCAGGGGAATTTGTAAAATTTAACCCTCATCTTGTAGTCCATATATGAGTCTTTCATTTAGTACTTTTTAATGTATTTGGTGCCAGGTCATCAGAACAAAAATACATTATGCAGACATTGTGTAAACACTGCTCCTTTAAAACTCGAGATTGAATGAAACGCAGGTTGGACAAGGCAGTGTGTAATTAAATAAATTCCAAAGAAAGTACTAAATCAGTCTCACCTTTTTACTGTCATGGTAGGCATGTTCTGACGCATTTAAACAAGAAAATCCGAAGACCAATAATGCTAATCCATAAAACCATCCAGACTTGGGCATGGCTTTGCTAAAGGTGCAAAAACCAAAGAAGAGTTTGTACGTTTCATAACATTGGGTGCGTTTGTGTAGCTTACTCGGGGCAATCCTGACCAGGGAAGGAAGGCAGTGTTGGATATGATTATGATGAACAAGCGAAACTATGGGACGAGGTTGAACTTGAGTCAACTCATGGAAGCGTCATGAACGTCTGGCTTTTATGCATGGTTTGCTCATTGAGTGGGTTGGGTTTTTACAGTGAACGTCGTGCTGCACTGGAACAATAGTAATGACTCAGATTTTGAACAACTTTTCTTGGAAAACTGTTCATTCTTTGCAGGAACATAGTCGACAGATATGTTTTTGAGATAGAATAATAAATCCACTTGTTTGTGACGTACGGTTTGATTTTGAAACAAAATATCACTCAAGCATTCTCTTTTGTGTTCTTGACTCAAAAGAGTTGAGTTTTGCCAGATTAAATAGTGTCTGTACTCTCCTAGGTTCATAAAAAGGGAAACTATTCAACAATAATCAGATTACGTTACAAATTTTACGTTCAAGTACACGTGATTCAGTTTTGTTGAATAGCCTTTAACAACATTTTCCAAGCCAGCTAACCTGCAAAGAAGGAACCAACACAATGTGACGTTGTCGTTTACTTGGTCGGCCAGTTCCGCAGCAATTAGCAAAGACATCCAAAAGCATTAATAACATGAACTGAAAACACCAAACCTCGGAATATCGTAGAATCCAATGAGGATCGTGGTTGTCTATAGTCTGCAATGACTGCGTGTACGTGGCAGACTGTCGTGTGAGGTAAGGTATGATGTTTTTTTGTGTCAACATGTGCAGGGAACTAGTGACGTCGATATTTTAAGAGATGGCATAATGGCTTTTGTGTACTTGGTTTTCCGCTATGCCGCCTCTGTTTTGTGTTGATCGTTGGCATGCATTCTGTTAGAGGATTTGCTTGGCTGGTAAACTTAGTGTTTCCGTTTTCCTCACATCATCATTGTTCCGCTTGAACTCATTGGACTCGTGACTCACATTGGGACATTCACTGATTTCTGTGAACGACGATTGATAAAATCTTTCTGTCTTCGTTAGTGATGAGAAATCTTTGCAACAGTGCAGTCTTGACTAAGATGTCATATTTCACTCTGATCCTGTTGAAAATTTCTCGAAACGACAATTTTCGTTGATTTCTGTGCGCCAATTTGATAAAGAAAACCACCCTTGGGTTACTATCTAACTAGGATCGAGATTTCAATCAAAGTAGGCCTACGTTCTGAAGTGGTGCCCTTAGGGATTATCCCCTACGTTAAGTCAGAACAAGTGGTGCAAAGAAATATGCCGATTCAATGTCGAGGAAATTATCCTCACAGAATGCTATTACGGGAGGGACACGTACTGATGCAGACAGCTGCATTTAGTGTGTATCCGCCTGAAGCAGTAGCACCCCCTCATCGGTTGAAAAAGCCGTATGGTCAGTAGTGTTCATTTTGTTGGTAGCGATGTGACTGGAGCGCGTATATTTCCTAGTCATTTGTGGACCAGCGAAGTTCAGTTCCCATCCAATGAGGCTACATTGTTAAGAAAATTACGTCCTGTCGTGGTCCAGCTTGCGGCTCACAACAGGCCTTACCTTTTATTCCAAGAAAACACACAGTGCTTTCCCGATTTTCCTGAATTTTGTGTCAGTGGCAAGTATTATGACTCTTTTCGCTGACTATTCTTGGACAAATGGAAGGGCTTCAAGAGTTTAATTTCTGAGCTGAGACAGATTAAGGGATAAAATGTCACTTTTGTGGCGACGATTTTTCAAAACGCGGTTCCTTTTAAAGTAATCTTGTCCCGCTGGCTCCTGCACTGATGGAGATTTGTAAAATTGAACCCCCATCAGGCTGTCTCTGAGTCTTTCATTTAATACTTTTTACTGTCTTTGTTGTCAGGTCCTCAGAACATGAGTACATCATGCAGACATCATGCTCCTTTAAAACTCGAGATTGGATGAAACTTTGAATATGATAGTCTGTGATTAAATAACTTCCAAGAAAAGCACTAATTCAGACTCAGCTCGTCACTGACATGGTTCTGTAGCATTTAAACAAGACAATCCGAAGACCAATAATGCTAATCCATAAAACCATCCAGACTTGGGCATGGCTTTGCTAAAGGTGCAAAAACCCAAAGAAGAGTTTATATACGTTTCATAACATTGGGTGCGTTAGTGTAGCTCATCATAGAATCCAATGCGGCCGTTTCACAATAGTGCGCCACCAAGAGTTTGCAACGCGTTGGCCAATCACAGTGCGCGAAATTTGTCGACCCAATGCGCCTTTGGAAAGGGTTGACAAATTTCGCGCGTTATGATTGGCCAACGTGTTGCAAACTCTTGGCGGCGTGCTATTGTGAATCGTCCGTATTGGGATCATGGTTGTCCAGTCTGCATGTATCTGTAGCGACTGCGTGTACGTGTATGTGTACGCACAAAATGTGCGGTGACCTAGTGACCTTGATAATTTGACAGATGGCGTAATCATGGCTCTTGTGTACTTTTCCACTGTGGTTTTCCACTGTGTTGCCTCTGCCTTGTGTCGATCATTGGCATACATTCCGTTAGAGGATTGGCTTGGCTGGTAAACTTGGTGCTTTCTGTTGTCCTTACATCTTCATTTGTTGCATTTCAGATGGATTCACGCGGGTATTGGACTTGTCCTCTCAGCCCACGGAACATATTCTACTGATGTCTGTGACAAGCAGGCCTATATAGATAAACTTGCTATTTTTTAATGAAAAATCGTTGCAGCGGTGCATTCTTGGTTAACTTGACTAAATTTCACTTCTATCGAGCTGAAAATTAACTGCTTATTTTAAGCCCAACAGCCCTGATTCCTCCAATTTTAATATGGTTTTGCACACACCCAAACCATCCTTGGGTCAGCTCCCAACTGGGATTGCCATTTAGCGACAAACTTCATGTCGTTAGGCCTACACCTTATAAGGGGTAATCCTTTAGAGTTTACCTCCTACGTCAAGTGAGAACTGATGTGTAAAAATATCCCAATTCATTGCTTTCCTTGGGGAAAATTATCCTCAGGAGATGATTAATGGATTGCTTTTACAAGAGGGATATTTACGCAGACAGCTTGCATTTATAGTGTGTATTATGGATCTTGCTTTTCGTATCCATTCCTAGAAAACAAACTTAATCCTCTTTCAATATTACCCTATGCAATCTTAACCAAACTTTGCATGTTTTCATTTTAGACCCTATGCCAAAATTTGGGCAGAAAAATAAGGCCTCCTGGTAGTTGGAGTAATAACCAATGTCTCCCTAAGGTTGAAAAATTGACCACAAAGTGTCACCCAAATGACCTATTTGTGATAATAATCATATTAATGAAAAGAAGAAGAATCGTAATAATCAAATATAATGTAAACAATAAATACTTCACTAAAAATCCCTTGTCCATCTAAAAAGTTCAATACTATAGAACACAAATATTAAAGTACTCAAAATGAACGAAATATTTTGCAGACATCAACCTTTTTATCCGAAAATAAAGTTCAAATTTTATTGCACACTGTGGAGTTCCAAAAGTCCGTTTTATTTAAAGACTTAATTCACACACTGGACAGTTTGATGTGCACTAAATTTGTTTTGGTTATTTCCAGATAACTAAATGTAAATAAAACTTACAATCCAATGGACATAAGTTTTTGAAACATCTGTTGTCGGACGTGTTTTGAACAAAATACATTTCTAATTCTAAGGGTATTCATATATACATATTTAAAATCAGTCCATATTTTAAGCATCTTAGACCGGTATACCATTGGACATGCTTTTCAGTAATACCCCTGTTACAGCTCCAGGACCGGTCGTTCCATACTGAGCACCATTTGTTTTAATTAATAGATATGATCCAATAAACTTATTAAACTACATTGGGCCACTTTCGTTATGAACACAATTGTCCAAGGACATTAGAGATAAAAAAAAAAAATACAAGACACAAAAACGTGCAGGCTCGGATTCTTGTTCGGGTCAATTCAGGAGTCAAACATTTCCCAGCAAAACTACTGAGTTACCCTCATTACCAAAAACACCGTCGTGTCCATTTCTCCTATATCCGTGGTTGACATCGGCAGTGCAGATTAGCAAAATCTAGCTTAAGACATCTAAGATGAAATAATACAAAAGCACACAAATGTGACAACTCAAAACATTTTGGAATCGCCTTCCTTCGCCAAGACCATCCCAATAATCACCTTTCCCATGTTCTCCTCCCTTTACCAACATACTTGCCACCAGTAGTTCATTTCACTTTTCGATCTTCCCTCAAAATGCCCACTTCACTCAATTCCACAACGCGATGAAATGCTGCGTAGGTCAGGTAGGGGAAACGAATGCTTTAATTTTCAAATGAGGCCACAAAAAGATACAGTGAGATAAGCTGTGGACGCTGTGCGCCATTGATGTGGGAGATGACTTTCTACTACTTCTGTGATTCTTTGCCAATTTTCTGCTTTGCATGGACCGTAGGGTAAGCTTAGAGGTGGAACCTTTGATGGGATTGAAGGGTGTTGACGAAAAAGATCGTCTTCTTAACTCCTGGTGCTTGGCTTTTGGCACCATGTGATGAAATGTTTGTTCCCGTGACTGTCGATATAAATAATACCTTTGTTTAGTGCAATTAAAAGTATGCACCTATAAGTCCTGAAGCAAAGTGTAGATGGAGGTATATCCCATTGGACAATACTGTGTATCGAACATCTTCCAAATATTTTCCTGTCATGAAAAAAGAACAATACGAACTGATTGGAGTAATTGAGATAAAAGAATTGTACGAGTACATACTCAGCATCTGAAGAATTTATTAATAACTAATAGTTTTATTCATATAATCAGGACAGACCGTTATTCTGGTCTGGTTTCGAACACCCCGGTGTATACCTTTGCGTAGGTTAGACCTGATGCTCATCGTCGAGTGGGTGGCCATTGTCTCTCTCATTGAGGTCATTTTCTGAGAAAGAAACAAGATCATAACAATTCGCAATAGACAACATCAGATGGACCCGCATTATTGTTGCACGGTGATATAAAATATTCTGTGTACTTACATCGTGATTTTTCTACTGGCTCACTAGTTTTAAGGACGACTTTGTCCTTGGAGTTTATGGTTTCTAATGGGTATTTCAACGTTTGAATTCTATTTTGGTTTCCCAATCTACTACGAATTCGTATCTTTTGGGAATCTGCCCTTTAATTCAGACCTAAATTATTTGTTTTCTGGGCCGTGGATGCCAACAATTGGAATTCAGCTCTTATTTCTCTGTCGATCCATTCTTTTCATTTCGTCAAGCATGATTCATGACTGTTGCAGAGCCGTAGGTTACCAGTGAGGGTGGTAACAAACAAGCCATGTGGTTCTATCATACCTTATACAAATTACTGATCAGTTGCTTTAAATGCCAGGTGGATTTTCTTAATTAAGAAGGGTACGCGTGACTGTTTCCCAGATATGCCCACAAACAGCTGAGGAAATGGTGCTATTTACTTTAAGAAGTATGTACGGACCTGTTTTTATTCAAACCCAACCTCCAAAGATGTGAAGGATTTTTATTGGGTAATGACAATAAGATAATGCGCAATTAAACTGCTACCTAAAAATGGTTCCATTTCCGCGCCGCTTGAAGCTGGTCGATCGGCCACGGCACCCACATTAGGGTCATTTTGCCCATTGACGTTTTGCTCGTCATCTTGGCGATGTTCCACATCAGCGTGTTTCTTCTTTTCACTGAGGACGTTAATTCATTGGCAATATGAAGAGGTATTGATCTAATTTGTTAGAACATACGGTGTATTTGACTCTGAAAGCATATGATGCTTTGAATCGTGGCTAATTTCATTGTCTTTTTTCAGTAAGTTATTTTGACAGTAAAGGATCACATTCCACGGCATTCTTCGCCCATGAGTGGGACCAAAATAGGGCGCAATATTTCTTTACGATGGAGGTTCCTTTGGTGGGAACTGTACTTAGGTAGTTCTCAAACGACTAGACATGCACTTGAGGCGGTAGCGTTCATGGCTACCGACAAAACGAATACTCCCCACCAACCTGCATGGCTCTTTTAACCGATTGGGGGGGGGGCTTCTGCTTAAGGGGATACTTACCGCCGCAGTTTGCAAATACATATAACGAGACCTCCAATCACCAGCAGTAAAATCACGCAAGTTACGCTGAGGGCAATCACTGAAAATAGCCAGAAATGAGCACACCATAAGCTACTTGTTACATGGTTATTAAAGTAGTCATGGACTCAGGGTGATGGTTGTTTTGTTTAATTATTTAATTTATAAAGACCTAACAGACCGAGCACGGCATTATTAATTTTTGTGAAGGATGATGGTTCTTTTACAGGCAATTTGTACACTTTTTTGGCATTTACTTTTTAAAATTCCTGTCTCCAAAGATCCAAAGTTGGACTACCCTAAAAGTAGGATACTGATTATCAGCAATCGAGCAATTCAGACTGTAAGCTAAGAAGTGAAAAGTTCGGGGCTGAATAATCTTAAGTTCATATGAAACTTTGGAGTTTAAAATGAGAACTGCTGATAATTGCGTTCACACACGAAGAATATGACATTGTGTAACGTAGTGTAAAAACTCACCGTAATTTGTGAGCGTTGACGAAGTTCGTGATTCTGTTGAAGGCTCACTTGATGACATTGAAGTGCACAGTGGGGGTGATGTTGCTGTTGAATTTTGTTTTATGGTCATAGTTTGTCTTGGAGCTGAAATAACATGTAAATTAAAATAATTTCAATAATTGAATTTAAGTAGCATAAGCGAACCTTACAATGAATAAACTGTGGAACGGATTTGATGAGCAATTTTTTAACTTAACCTTGTTGGTATAATATCAAAGAAATACAAGAATTTAATCACTGAAATGCTTTCTTTAGCTGGTTGAACCAACGTAATGCATTGTAACTGCTAATGTAATATTCTTTCAAACAATTTAAGAATATACGTAATCATTGTCATCTCATGTTTTTCGTATCATTGTCATCCCTTTGCACCAACGTCTTTCGTTTCATCGTTGTTGGCCACCTGTAATTATTTCCTACTGTCCACTTTTAACCACCTTTACTGTCATATTGTGGCACTAATTTGGCAAATTCGAAGATGAAGACATAAACTTGCAAGATGTGACGTCGGAAGCTACAGTCGACTCCGCAAATTCCGTTGGCCAGGGAATAGTTCCATTAGTAAAATTCGCATTCACACAGACCGTGTCTTCCCGAATTGTGCATTTTTTCAACTAAGAAAAAAAACGAAGAAAATTTGAAAGAGGAAAAAAGGAAGAATGCTTAATTTCCTCGAGGACGTATTTCTTGTTTCCTACCATGCTTGTTGGTCAGTTCAAAAACCATAATAATTATGAACTTTTTTCGGCTAGGGAAAACAGGTGTTTCTGAGGGATTTCAGGAAAACGACAGAGGACCAACTTATGAAAATTGAAGCAGAAGATGAATGTATATAAATTTGTTATATTCGGATACAATCGGTATTACTTAAAGCACGCTAAAGCTATAATTTCCAATTTCTTTAATACTCCATAAGATTTACTTACACTTAGTTTTGCTTACCTCAATTTCACTATGGGGCGAGCATTTACGACATTCCTGGCAGCTTGGGCAAAAGTTCCTGTGACTTGTGAAACTCTTATCTCTTGTGCAACGTCTACATCCCAACGGGCGCCCTCTAAGACACACGGACATTGAACAGGTTACTGTACAGCAAGCAGTTGCCCGTAACACCTCAGGCAACAATAGTAGGGCATCTACATTGAAGGTGTAGTGCTTCACGCCCATATTTTCGGTCATTTTTTTCATTTTGCCAGTGAATAAACTTGATCCTGTGATCTTTCTGGGAAAGTAAAATATGTTCAGCATTCAAAAAGGCGGTCGAATCACTGCAGTAAAGCTTTTGACTTACTTGTTTTGGGGGTTGTAGTCAAAGTACCAGCCCAGATTACAAACAGACTGATTGTCGTTGCCAAGTTGGAAGGTTGATCGACCATCATCTTCTCCTAGCATACAGTATGGCAGGAGCTGGATAAATTAAGAAACACATAATCTTTAATGTCCCAAATGTCTTTGAAATGATGACACTATATGCCTGCAGTTGACAAAACTTCTGGGTCAAATTGACCCAGATTGAGGGTCCATATATGCTCAAAAACCTACTTTGCCAAAAGGCCTGTGCAGGTGTCTTTTTGTATCCAGGAGATCCAGCAGATTTTGGCCCTGATTCCCGGTCATTTTGACCCAATAGGTTTTCCAAGGGTGAAACTATTTAATGCATACAGCTACGATGGCAGACAATTCTTGTGTGTCCATTAACGTGAACATATTAACTAAAATATCACCGAATCACCCCAACCCGGCTGAAGTTGGTAAGTTCGATGTTTGACAATCCCCTGCCCCTACTGTAAATATTCATTCTTCCAGGCTTCTGTATAGACACAGATGAAAAGTTGTAACATTTGCATTGGTATTTTTGTGGGGCATATTGATGTCATGTCCACATAATAATTTCTAGTTTCCAGTCCGGTCTTGTATACCAGGACATAATTTTCAACATATTAAAGTTTTTACTAATTTAAAATATTAGTTAAATACCAAACAAAGGTTTAAGAATTTAATGTTGTTGGTTTTGTAAGAAAATAGAGGTATATTTAGCAGGGATACGTAGCCACTTATATCACTCCGGACTTTTTCGCAATTAGCAGTTTTTAACGAAACCTTGGTTATACCGAGAAGAACATCACTTCTGGAACATTAATTGCTGAACATGTTTACATCATTTTACACACCATTTATTTGCATCAAAGGGGCGGAGCTCCATAGCAAGAGTCAGTGACGTTTATTAACCCGAAGCAAAATAACAGTTAAAAAATAGCCCTTTTGGCAAAGAAACGAAACACAGAAAGTCTCATTCTGAACCATCCGTGTAGAGGACATTGCGGCCAAAATGGCGGCAGCCATCAACTTTTGTAAAGTCACTGTAAACTTGTGTTTCACAGTTGTGGTATATACGCAAAGTTTAGTCTACTATTGTCATTCAAAAAAATAGAAATGCACTGGAAATAGGGTTGTGTTCTATTGTATTGTTGCGTCACATTTTACTATTTCATATACATGTAATGCGCTTTAAGCTGTGGCTACATTAATGTAGGTACATGCACGCTGTGAACTTGGTGCATTGTAAGCTTACAGAACAAGTTGCAGTTTCCTGAACTCTGCGACTAAACTATACACGGTGTTACGCTGTAAATTCTTCGTAAATCGACAATTAACTGCTCACCTCATCCTCCTCTTCGATATTTTCTGTGACAGTCACACGTAGGCCTAATGTCAAAATCACAAGTGGAAATATCACACGTCCTGTAGAGAACATGGCGGTCAAAATGGCGGCAGCCATCGAATTTTGTAAAGTCACTGTAAACTTGTGTTGTCATAGTTGCGGTATGCACGCAAAGTTTAGTCCACTATTTGTCATTCACAAGTACATGTCAAAGATCAGAGATACACCTTCATGCACTGGAAATAGAGTTGTATTGCATTGTATTGTCATATTTTACTCGTGCATGTAAAATATTTGTAGTTATCTTTTGTTAAGCTTACGAGATTTGAATCAACATAATGTCTTGCTTTAAGCCTGCGTTGCCACGAATTGCCTAAGAAAACGAAACAAATTGAGGTTAGAAACAAAAATAGCCTGTTCTTAAAAAGAGTCGTTGCAATCATGATGAAAAAGTATTCTGAACAGTTAAAATGTTTTCTGGTGTATAATAGACGAAGTTCGAATAAACTTTGGGCAATATTGTTTAAATTCTGGACAAATGTTGGGACCTAATTTCAACACGTATATTTATAGCATAGGTCACCATCAGCCGTGTCATAACAAGTTTTCACATATCTGGTTTTCTTCTTCTTCTTCATTCGAACATAGATTTTTTTATGTAGACATCCTCGCCTAGTTACAGTCCACTGTGCTGGACCAGGAAGATGGCTCAAATTTTGCCTTAAAACATGAGATACTTCAGCAGCAATGAAACGTTTATGAGCAGTTCTCGATGAAAAAAAAACCGCCTTAGAATTGTTTGATATTAACGATGCCACGGAAAACAATAAATATTTTAGAAGACTTAACCCCCCATCTGCCCAAAATAGAAAAGTGAAAGAAAGAATCACAACACAGTCCCGTTAATCCCTCTCATAACTTTTTTAGCTCCTCCTTTACAGCAAAACCTGGATATCCCAACCCTAAAAAACTGTTGAAAACAATGTTATCAAATATTGGTTCAACGTTATAACGTTGAAATATTCAAATTCTTAACAACCTTCAATTTATGTCGTGGTGAGCGTAAGAATCTTGTTTTCTTCTTCTTTTTATGACGGTTCCTAGAAGGGCACTCATCTTTATTTCCCGTTTTCTTTTTCACATTCGCTTAATGTTAAAAGTCATATTTAGCCCCTTCTCATGCATTGCAGCCATACAGGCTGCATCAATGGGACATTTCTACACCTCATGTATACATTAAATCGACTACAATGCAAAGTACTGTACTAGAAAAGACACTGACATGCATATACATGTACTTTATTTGTTTTCGATCAACTCAGCAATATTTGAATTAAGGAATATAGCCCCCCGTGAATTAAAAGGATTGAAAAATATGAAAACGAAGTGTGTATTTGTAATAACTATTTTGTCCGAAAACAAGTGATGCATATCATGTCGATATTTACTAAAATGAAGTTAATTAATTAATCAATATTGATTCGTCAAGTTACTTTTTGTGAGTCAACCATTGTTTCTTGAAACAATCCACTTCAGTTTTTGCAAACGACAAAACCGATGAAATGAGGAAATAATTTTGAAAAAGAAAACATCAAGGAAACCGTGATCAGTATTCAATTATTTTCTCGATCATATTTGAAGGAAAACTTGAGAAAAGAAGCAAAGATTAGTTTAAACCTGACTAAAAGGAACAATTTGTTTAATATAATGCCTGTTGTACATCAAAAAGTTAAAACAAATGGAAGTCTTAAGCGATTACATTTCCATTGGAATCTCAAATCTATTTTGCCAAACATCTATTGTATCACGCAAACATCTCAAGAAAAAACTATATTTTCGAAGGAAAAAACGCAGAAAATGACGATTATTGACGATTGCATTGTTTTGGAGCAAATCTTATAACTACAATCTATTTGAGAATTCGTAGTCCTTTCCCCCATCCTTCCATCTGTGCTGTATGTTGTATTGCGTAGTCCTTAGGCTGTAACAAACGAAGGCAGAGAAAAGAGAATATATGATATCTATGTCAATGGTGAGCTTTGTGTTTTTTAATAATTGGACATATCTGTCTCACGTGTCTACAGCTTGACAAAGAAGGTATTTAAGTCGGTCAAAGGGGCTGATATAAATGGTAACATCAACATCATATTCCAAACTTTTTGATGAACTTCAATGGTGGAAGTGAAAACTCTTCATCAATGAGTGAAAACTCTTTCACAGTCCAACTTTGTTTAATGCATTGACAGGTGCAGAGAATCTAAGCATTGAAAATTACCCATGCATTCCTGGACAAGTGAGGGCGCTGCGGATGTGATGTCACACAGGGAAGACAGAGTTTAGTTCATAGTTTCCTGTGATGACGTCACAGTTTTTTAATGGAAATCTCATTAGAATAAAATCCCAAAACAGTAGAATACCCTTTGATATAGCGAAGTAAAAGTTGAAAACAAGGTTAACGAAGACAGCGAGATGCATTTGAGGGTTTGCCTTTAAGACAATTTAAGTGCAGTGACCTTTGCCTTTTACTGACGTAATTAGTTTAGCTCCTAAAGTTGTAATTGACCCAGTTATGTCAAAATCTCTTTGGTAGGGAAAGCACGAGGAAGTTTTTCTCGTGTTTCGTCCATGCAGCCTTGTGACTATATCTTCACCCCTGCTGTCACGAACCACTGGATATAAACACACTTGTGAAGTTTTGAATCGTTTTTTGGATCATGGGATACAGCTAATATTACTCCATTCACACTATACATGGGCTTCAAATGTTGAAACACAGATGATCTTCAGTAAGTTCAGTTTATATTTAGGCCTACTCAAAGACCTCAATTTCGACAGACTTATCCCTTCCCATCTGAAACGTCGATATTGCCAACCAAGCGCAACAAAATAATACGAAATTGCATTGACCTCTAAATAGACTGAGCCTTTTCGGAGAGTTTTTAACGTGAAAATTATGAGTAGCTTCTGTCGTCATGAATTAAATTACCTTTGCATCGTGGGAGAAGGATTGTAATCTAAATACACAAAGAAAGCCAATATTTCAGCTAAAGCTTCGTGTTTGTGATTGGCCAATATCACCTCGATGGCATCGAGGAATTTTGATATACATGTATACAGTTCAACATAGCATCCGTTGTCAGAACTGAAGGCAATCTGTTATGCAGTTAAACTTTTCTTTGAGGACATATTAAACATTCAGCATATTAAACAATAAACCAGCAAACTCCCTGAAAAGCTACAAACATAATTCCAGATAGGAAAATGGGCGCCTGCAAAAAGTGGGGGCCAGGCCCCTCCTCCCAAGTCGAAAAAGGGGGTCACTGGCCCCCCTGCATGTCCCCCGCTTCCGCCGCTAGTGGTTGTTAGTGTAAAGGCGGTTTGCCGTAGGTACATTTTTGGGGTGCGTTGTGTACGATGTGTTTTTGCATTTCACTTTCACGACGGACACAAAGTCGACTTCATTAGCGGCACGTGTGCATTGCTCCGGCCGTCAAAAGTTCCTCGGGAGCGATTTTGACGGTGACGGATACGCAACGCTTGGCGCAAGTGTTGACGTGTATACCTTTGTCAAAAAATTTCAGTCACCCTTGCAAGTTGCAACAGCCAGGCCTCCCCAATGAACAACACATGTGTATGTTCCTATAACATCCTCATCCGAATTTCATAGAGCTGCTTAAGCACAAAGTTTGCATAACTAAAAGCGTGAAAAAACCTTGCTTTAAAAAACACGGTTATCAGCTCAAACTCTGATTGTTATGCTAGCCAAAGACAGGTAAATACATGTACAATCCCAAAACAATATACATCACATGGAGTTTGGGCAGGTTACCTGATTTATCAAACAAAGTTTTCTCGCGCTTATGCAAATTTTGTGCAGCTCTAGATGAAAAGTGATCCTGGCCGCGGCTGAGGACATGTAACGCTCCTACAGCAGTTGTTCTGCTAGCCTCCTTATCGTATATCTACTAATAATCTTATACCACAGTCCCTTAAAGTCCTTGAAACGATGTCTTTCAGGTTTGTGTTCCTCGTCTGGCAGTAATTTAAGTCACAAGTTAAATGCATGTTTAAGTTCCCATTGACGTCATTCATGACTAACGTGTGCAAGTTGAATGTATGTAGTATATAAAAGATACTGCTAATAAATGCTTCGTTTGATGCTTCAATGCTCAATTTGAACTTGTGTAATTTACCAAGGAAAATCACACAAGTTGGTTTGACGGTTTTCCTTGCAACAAAAGGCCAGCCTACATCCATGGCACTGTCGCCAGAAATTCGAGGTCACTTGAACAAAAATGGGAAATCCGGTTTTGTGGTTTTCATAGAGTGCATGTATAAGGAAAGGTTTACGGCAAGGATACTTGGTATGTACAAATATGTGTCAAGTACAAAGAAAAACTATAGCGGTTTTGTACATCAGCGGGCACTCTCGCAGTTAGGCCTCCTTGAGAGATTCGGCCATGGCTACAGTGTTTTGGATGTTGCATTCCCTTCTACTCTGTGTTTGGTGTTTTTATCTGCCCACTGTCATCAAAGCAGTGGGTACCTTGGACATATATCGACTTCAACCCGAAGGTAATCCTGAAGTAGGTGACGTAGTTCAACTGGTATGCAGGGCGTCAGACGTACCGGTTGGCTATACTGTGGAGTGGGCAAGATTGGTTTTAACGGGTTCTAACGAGGAGACACTAGCCAAGAATGGGATAAGCACAAACCCCAGATTTGCCGTCTCTCTCCAGTCTTCTGATGCAACATCTAGGGCGGAAACCCTAGTCATCAGGGAGGTTGATGTGCAAGATTCGGGAAACTATTACTGTCGTCTGAAGAAATCTGATGGTACACTTGTCATTGCCAGGTTTTATTACTTGGCAGTACAGCTTCGACCAACCACTGACACCCCTTCCACCGTATCTGTGCTAATAACTACTAATGGAGAATCTCGCGCCCCCTGGATCGCCTCCACTGGTGTACTGCTCCTTGTTCTGATTCTGTCAGTCATCATTAACATCTACTGCATCCTCAAACATCGCAAGATCAATGATGGTGATAAAACCCAAACTCCACAAGTTGAACCGTACTTAGAGCTACAACCGACGGGTGCACCGAGCAGGGAGTACACGGGGCTCACGACTATCACAAACTGCTCCTCGACGCAGATGACCAATGACATGACCAGTCAACATACTTACTACCTACCTGGCGGTGAGGAAAATGGGGGTTTGGTGTACGACTATCCACGCCCCGATCCTCCAAACCCACCGAATGGAAACAGTGGTGTGGTTCAGTACAGGAACATCGACAATTAGACATTGAGATGCCAGTAGGTAGACTTGAGAATGTCACCATTTTGATGTCATCAATTGGTTTGGAATAAGAGAGGGACTAATTGGCACCGGTTGAAAATTAACACTGGACAACCTGCGCTTCGATTTGTTACATTTTCAGGTAAAAAAAGAAAACAGTGAACATCCTACTACCCCGACCCCCCAAATTTGAATCAGTGATCCAGAACAAAGCCACAGAGCATACACAGTGACAGATACCCCCAGGACTTGTATGAGTGCATGTGCATGTCAAATTCGGTTGATTGCAAGCTTACCTATGGGCCTATGTGGGGGATTTGACCAGATACGCACAAATCAACTGAGCCTGTTGGCATTAACGTGGGAACTTAGTAAAAGAGGAATCCCAACACTTAGGCCTATCAATAGGATTCTTCTCAAGCTGACTTTGAAACTGATGCCTAGGCTACGTTGGATTCATCTACAGATGAATCACAAATTCAAAAGAACATACAACCGGTGTCACTGACAATGTATCAAGGCCAAATTTTACAGGGTGTTATTTATTACTATCGGCTTCAGTCAGAACAGGGTTTATCTTAATTGTTGATAGTGCTTCGTAGGAGTTTTAAGCGTAAACGCATAGTGTGACGGCCTGTTGAAATTAATTGAAAATGCTCATTTGGAAGCTTTTATTTTATCTTTGATTTAATGTGAAGTGAGAACCAACGTTTTGTAGAGTTTTATTAAAATGATAAAACAAATTCCAAAACCAGTCATCAAAACGCACATCACCCAGTCCCGTGTATATAGCTGCATCACCTTAAATAGCAAAAATAATTGACTCATTTTGTATACATTTTAATACTCAAATTTATTATTCGACTGATGTAACAGGGATAAAATATATGAAAACCTTCTGGTTTATTCAAGTGGCTTGTTACTTGACTTGTGACAGGACAATTTGTGATGAAATTGTGAGCACTTGTACTATAGCCTGTGAGGACTTGAACTGGCTTGTGGGGACTTGTACTCACTTGTGAGAGTTTATGCTGATTGGTGAACACCTGTAGTGACTTGAGGGCATTTTATTGCCATGTGAGGACTTGTGCTGACTTGTGCCACCTTGTGAGGACTTGTGCTGATTTCATTAAATTAGTGAAATGAGGATGAAAGCTCTTATCAATCAAACTAAAAAAAATACCTCTATGTAACACCAGCACCTCTTATTTTAATATGTAGCTATTTAAATGTTTTCTACATATAATTATTTTTAACTTGGAATAGAACCTTTCAAATAAAAGGTGGTGTTTTACTGTGGTACTTTTGATTAATGTCCACTAGACAAGCAAAAGATTTATATAATTGAACACAACAGTGCAACCACACAATACTCCTCAATATCTGAGCAATGATGCTGACTTACATAATTCTGACGACTGTTGATCCTTTAAAATATGCTGGTACCCATTAACCCAAGTTTGGCCATAATTTGTGGTCTTTAGGGAACCACTTAACCCCTGCTTGCCTCTCTCCACTCAATGTATAAATAGGTACTGGCATGAGCAGTATGTAATGGACTGCCATCCCCTCCGGAGGGAGGGTAATATTTGTCAGTTGTTTCATGCCAAGGAAGCCTGAGATAAAAACGAGCCTGACAAGCCAAATGTCTCTGAACACGCTTGCAGACCTACATTAACGGAATTCACTGGCAGCGGAATGATTTTCAAAGTGGGGGGGGGTAGTTGTGAGACCATCAAGCATCAGTCATTAATAGGTACATTAAGCCCTCTCCCATTGTAGGACCTGCACCTGTGGCAGGCCAGTGACTGAATGTAACTGTTACTTAAGAAAGGTACATGCATTACAATTATGCAAATGGAAACTAAGCTGATAAACTGAGACAAAATGACAGAGAGCTGATGGACATAAAACAATAAATTCTGACGATTGCTGCATGGATGATGCAGTTAATGTAGGTCTTAGGAGCACAGCACAGCTCATCATTTCTTCAATAGGATGATAATTTGTTCCAAGCCTTTGGTAAATTTAGCATGTACATCATGCCATCTTTAACTGTGATAATTTCTCTGTCACTATTTGTTATAATATTGAAACAAATGATATAAGGAAACTGACTAAGTGCTTATGAATGCATAAAAATGAACAAAGAAATTGACTGGAGCAGGATTTGAACCTGCGGCCTCTAGAATACCGTACCAGTGCTCTACAAACTGAGCTGCCCAACTCCACCAGCTACCAGCTGGTAGCTCTTCGTATTTGTCAATATCTCTCTTATAATATTGATTTCAACATACATGTACCTGTTGCATGATACTCACCGGCGTCGCTAGACCATTTTGAATCGGGGTGCTACAGGAAATTTGCTGACGGACCGTCATGCAAAACGAGTGTATTGTATCCCCCTTCATCTTCATTCATCTTCATTCTCCGTTTTTTCTTTTGCCTACAGACCATGAAGTCTAAGCTGAATCCAATGGATTCAAAAACGCTCTAGGTTAGCCAAGCGCATGGTGCGTACGCGTGGTGAAGCTACAATTTGGATGTATGTACGCAAATCTTTTATCAGTTCTTTAACACTTTATTAAATTTGTCAAGTACATGTACATTTTGTACTGGCCCACCAGCTGGTCCGCCGACTTTTCTACTGGCCTTGGGCCAGCTGACCACCATAAATTTCAACTCCTACAAACCAATGGGAACGGGGGTGACACCCCTCGACCCCCCTCTAGTGACATCAGTGGTACCGAGAAACTGTTGATTGGAGTCAATATGCGAATTCCATAGATCTTCACATTAACAGACTTTACACTATGAAAGTAAATGTAGCACTTAATTAGTGACCAATAGAAGTCATATCTGAAGAGGGCGCTGTTACACTTATGACAATGAAAATGCTGTGTCCATTCAGCTTGTTCATTTAATTTTATCTAAAAATGTTTTGATTCAGTCTCTCTGTCTAGATTATTAGACAAACTTATCATTAGTTCCTAGCTCGGAACAAGTTACAGAATTGTAAAGCTGAGAACTCAGTTCATCCAAATCTAACTCAGTTGTTATTCTCGGATCCTTTGCTTTTAATCTTAGTATCCTGGACTTGTAGAAGTCCCTGGAAGTTAGGCTGAGGATTTGAGGTTAGACTAGCTTGTGATGTGAGAAGTTGGTCAATCAATCCAATTTCCTGACTCCGCCTTTTCATGTCTTCCTCTGGTGTCCAGGACATGTCATGTTCCAGTCGATAGCAGCCTATGTACTCATGTGGACAGCTTTTACCCCACTCCTGTAAGTCACAATGGGTGAATCAATCAATAAATATAATTCGTTATCAACAACCTCCAGTAAGTGCTTTTAAACGTTATGCATAACCCTATTACGTGGTGGATGTGAATAAAAAATAAAGTTAGGGCTTGAAGAATATTGTTTTCTTTGAGGGGTAAGAATGAAGATTTCAAACCTGAGGCGAGAGAATGGAGAAGTACTTCTGACCAGATTGTCGTTTGTAAAGGTAGTAGATCTGACCAGGTCGTTTTTTGATGTTACATGCTATGTGATGAAGCTCGTTATCTCTCTTGGCATCTTCTAAGACAGTCCGAGCCTGCTCCTGTAAGTATCGGATCTGCTCAGCAATTGTCAGGAGTTTGTTACTGGCATTAGCCCGTGTGAATTCATCTGCCTGGACCAAGACAAACATAAAGCACAAGTTGATAAACTTTTACATGTAGTTTTGTTGCACTACACTGGTTGGAATTCATGACATTAATCCTGTGAGTTACGATTTGGATTAGGTACATCCAATTAGGAAAACTGTTCATAAACTGTGTGATACCTTTTGTACAACTCTGGCTAGTTCCACCAGATCAGTAGGGTCAGCTGCTACATTTGTTCTGTCGGTGTGAACTAACCGAATACCACACGGCCTGTCATCCTTCTCAACAAGAGCAACTGTATGAGAAAGTAGTTATTGGAACACGTTGATATTGTACAGGAAAATTGAGCTGATTATCAGGCATCACTAGTAATACCGATGACTACAATTACAAGAATACCATAAGCCTAAGGAAATGTACATACATGTATCTTCCTGAAATTTTCAAAACAACCTGAAGCCTTGAAGAGGACAATTTCACAGTCTTCCTCCATGACATGTTCAAACTTGGTCATGGTTGAAGTTCAACTTTCACCTTGGCATCACCATTGCGCAACCCCTTTTGGCATGAATTGTAGGATCATTACTCGTAAAGTATGCAGGGTCCAAGGTACACGTATACACATACGCTTGTGTGCATAAACCATAGAAATCAGCCATCATTGTGCGCCCGATAACAGATGCACCGGTTGCACTGTGTTACATAAATACATAGCCTAACCACACTTTGCTAAATTGACCCAGCTCCGTGCCTACTCGATCGTCATGATCAGGTAGTCCAACTAATTCAATAAAAATTACTTCTTGGATCAAACTCAGTTAATCTGCGGTTTACAGAGCTATCTTAGTAATCGTACCAGTTGTGACGTCTCTTGCTAAATTCATCGTTTCTTCCACCAATTTGCCACTGCCACTCCGTGCCACTGCAAGCCTCAAAATTTATCGCAGCACATCACCTGCACGGACGGGCGGGAGCTACGCAATAATTACATAAGAGTAGCGCCCTCGGTCGCGTCGACTCATTTTGGTCCAAACTAACAGTTCAGTAATAGCTTGTGGTATAGCGCCCTCTCTCGGTGTCATCATCCTCAAAATAGTTGGTACTCGGTACATGTCTCATTCCAGCAGCACTGTAGGTGCGAGAACCAGCGTCGTGTTATTCTGTAAATTTTGCAAGCGCGCGCCGCAGGCTTGTGACATGGAGCAAAATGGACATCCAGAAACATGGAGCTGAACTCTAACCAAGGTAGGAAATCGTTTTCCTTATAAAATTCCCGATTAGGTTCTTTCAGCGGATGAAGTCAGTGTAGGCGTACACTGTGGATGTGATTCTCGAAGAAGACGTAGAAAATCTGAACGTTTTCCTGGGTGTTTAAATATAAATATAAAACTAAAGAATTAGGGACTAGGCTTGTCATGCAAGTAGTATAGTACAAGTAAGTTTTAGGCCGCCCTAGCCTAGGCAATCGTTAGGCCTGCAACTATTATTTTTATTTTCTGGTAATGACACCAAGGATTCCTCAAAAGCACCCTAGGCACTGTACTCACAAGCCTGAAGAAACCTGTAGGGAGGAGACAATGAGAAGCAGTTACAGTTTTAGAGGTGGGAGGAAAACCCCAGAGGAATATTCTGAGTAAAACCCAAGGAATCAGGCAGGGACTGAAAACCCAATCCACATGTGGACCGAGCCGGGAATCGAACCCGGACCGCAGAGGTGGAAGGCGAGGAAAGAATCACTGTGCCAACCCAACTCCCTAGACTCCCCAACTTGTACAACATGATGAGAGATGTGCGCTGGTAACTAACCATGTGATTAATATCAATGTCACTCAGACCATGCTCAGACCCGGACGGATTGATGGTCATCATGATCATGAGGGTCGACACCAGCCTACCGGAAGGGTGTATGTCAAGCATGGCAACAGTAGATGTACAGTTGAAACTAGTGAATAACATTGAGAGGTCTTTCGGTCTTCGCAAATTACATGTACCTTGTCTTGTTAAGGCATGATAGGCTCTGTTATTATTGATAATATTAATAAGCCTAAGTATTATCAGGAATAAAAACAAAGTAGGCTAATTGGGACCTAAATTTTTTTTTGTTATAGGCCTAAGCAGAATCTGATTAACAGTGCTCTTATTAATGAAGTGTGACTTTGTCAGTGTAGCCCCATAATTGTGGATAAATCCTGGATAAGTTTAGTGAGCTACGTGATGACGATACCATTCCATTTGCTGTCATGGCTTCAGCCCTAGGTCTAAATTTCATTTTATGGTATGTTCAACATGGTCAATTTGATGTTGTATGGAGAGAGAGAATTCTCAAGCCTAGTCTGCAGGATCCCGGAAAACAAGATTGGGAATCGTTAGATTTTCAAAGTTGAGTAAGCCTCTGATAATTGCAGAAAACCCCCATTTTAAAGTACATCCCTGAAATCACTGGTTTTCATGGGTACAAGGTGGAAATCCCTATAAAAACAGTCCAATATTTTGACCTTTTAGCCGGCTTTGACTCTTTTGAATTTGAGGGGTATTCTGCAATCCAGCTAAACTTCAATCATCTAGTATTTGGAAGCCTTGTCCGAGTACCTTGGACCCTACTAATCACCCTTTTAACATCAGGACACAATCTGACAATACCAGAGCACAAGCAAATTCCCAGGGGTGGCTTTACACATGTACATGTATAGGTACATATAAAGTAACAGCCCACCGAGGCATCAGATTCAATCCTCAAAACAGCTACAAATACTTAATTGGCTACCTGAGGAACAAACATAGAAGGTCTTGCACCATTATTCACATCAAGAAGCAGTCACTGGCACAAATTAAGCTACTGTACTTGTGTACTCGAGACATGATACATGTTTGTGAGGTCAAAACAGGTCATGACTTGGACATATACTACAAGTATGCATGCATACAACTCGGCATTGACCTGTGTTTGTTTGTATTTGGTAACACCAGCCGGTACATGTAAGGTAACTATGGAAACCCTCCACCGTTACGAAATTGTATTTTCACTAACCTCGTATGGGAACCTACCGGTACCGATGCGTACGTGTACTTGTACACACCTGCAAGGCACATATGTACTAATCCTCTAGGGGGTGTTCCAGGGTAGTTTTTTCGGCTTTTTTTTAGGGTGAAATATGATTTATTTTGCCAGCCTGCTGATTATCTGTTTTGCCAATCAGCTTGAACATAACCAGATGTTCTGTTTCAAATGGCAATAATGTGGATCCAAGTAATTCAGTCCAATAATCATCGTGGTTGAAGATACCTACATGTAGGAATAAGCCCAGAAAAATTGTTTTACAGACCCTCCGAATTCAGGACAAATCATGTTTTCTCCACCACTGACAGTACAGTGTAGCTGCCATGTACCGGTATTTCTCTAGAGGTTATAGGTCATGATACCCGGATGCAGATTTCCTTGACATTGATTTCCAGTAAGCCTGCGGCTGTTTTCTGGCTTTCGGGTTATCCTCAGTTTGTGAGAATCATTAGGATGTTTACAGATTTTATCTACTGATCTGGTAACTAACGTTAGATAACATTTACTGAAAAAATTCTCTTGGTCCATAATGAGGTCAGTATCTACCAGTACTGTGACAATTATGAAGTGAAAAAAGGTCTAGTCAATTTTCTATTATTATAATGTACAACAAATAGTTGTAGTGAATAGAGTGTGACTGTCTAACATATACATGTAGGAAGTTGATTGCCTTCAGTTTTCAGTGTGGGGGAAGTTTCCCTTTGATTAGCCAAATTCATTTCATGTACATGTGTGTATCTCAAAGGGTCTCTTTTAGCACCCATGTGCATGTAGTAAATGAAAAGGAGGACCTACAGTACATTGTACATTTAAGGCATTTTTTTTGGCACCAAATGCATATTTAAAATACGGTAGGTCCAGGGGTTTTGCATTCATTGGTAGCCAGGCACTTATAGTGCAAAGGCACAGGTTCAATCTGAACCCTGGTAGCCTACGATGTACAACAGTATTGTCTAGCATGTGTCTTTCGTCTTAGGCAGAGCTTTTTTGTTTTTCTTATTGTTTTTTACTGCTTAAAGGTGGTCAGCATAAAAGTGCCTAGCTTTCATGTGTTTGCTCTCACAGCAGGTTTAACCCTAACCCTCCAGGCCATTTTATTGGAACCATCCTTAATCTTCCAAAATCCTCCAATTTTCTACATGAAGAAAATTGTATTCAGCCTCAGTCGGCCAAAATTTCTTGAAAAGGTTATTTGAAACTGTGTCTACTGCCTAAATCCTTCAAAATCCTCTGGCAATTCCTCTCATTATGTTGAAGCAGTGCGAACGGCATTCTTGAGCAGTGCGGGTGATTCAAAAGAAATATTGGGCTGAATTTATGCTTGACTGACATGACTGAGCAAGAACAACACAAGATCTAACCCACGACCTTCACTCATGGCATCCTTCACCATCAGCCGTGCACTTTTGCAATTCACCCTCAATCCTTCAAAATCCTCCCAAACCGCCCGAAGGATTTTGGAGGATTGATGTGGGTTCTAATCACATACTGTACTTGGCTAAAAAGATTTAACATGCATAATTTTTCTGAAGGAAAAAAGTTGCCAAAAGGATGGATGTACATGTACATGTAGATGAAGAGTTTGAAGACCGTTCACTTCTAGCACTAGCAGCCACTGGTCTTCACTGCACGCCATGCTACATGTACATGTAATGTAATGTATACATGCAGTATGTTACGTATATTCGTACATGTATGTTTATTACACTTACATGACTATACCAGTATGTACCTCCATACAAAAACGTACATACCGGTACAGGTTATCAACAGTACACACGTGTTATATGTTGACATAGATGTTATGGGGACCAAAAATTTTATGGGGACAAATTTCTGTCATCACAACTTGGCTTGACTTTCTTATAAAAGAAAGTGTCCCCTTTATGTAGGGAAGACTTAGGTAGCCATATGGACTCACCCCCAGTAGCGGCACATGTACCGACCTGGACAGTGTGTTCTACCTGTCATGCATCATTACTTGAGTCTGTGAAGAAGAAAATCCAATTTAATGGAAATTTATGGGTTGGCAGGAATGGCCTTTACGGATCCTAAGGTGGCACATGTAAGCATCATTGAGTAATTTTCTTGCTGTTCATCATCCAGGCTCCTGAGTTGGCATTTCACGGTGTAAACGCTGATGAGATTTTCACATTAAGTGTACTTGGGTTTGGAAATGTTAATGCACAAATTGGCTGCTGGGTATGTTGAATGCACCGAACGACCTCTGTGCACTCAAGCTACACATTGTGCCTGACCCAATTTTGGACAGTGTCTAGAAATGCTGTGAAGAATTTAGGAGTAAGCCGTGATACAATTTTTAATGTCCAAGCCTTTGAATGAAAAGAAAATCCTTTGAATAAGGGAAGCTTTTTTAAGGGCTTAGTATGATGCATGTAGTTTCCTACAGTATGTGCTAAAACGTGTTACATGTAGCATGCTAGCTATTTTTTTAATTTAATTTTTTTTTAAAGTAAATAAAGACTTCTTTTCAAAAAGTGCTTTTCTGAATGGTTCACTTTTTGGTGTTGCAGAATTCTTGAACTCAGAGAGCATGACAGGTTACTTGCTGCCAACCTATGGAACTTTTTTTAAGGTTTAGCAATGTTTAGTGTAGATACATGTAGGCCTTATACTAATAGGCATTTGCTGTTTGATAAAAAAAAATGGATAGTTGCATTTTAGTGACGACTTCATCTGACATGTCTGGGTGCAGTTCTTGTGAATTACACTGCCTTAAGTTAAAACATTCATAGTTATCAAAAGACCTTTCAGTCCCATGGGAATGGTTTTATTCTTCTTATTCATCACAGCGGTATGAAATATTCAGCATTTGATGTATCACATCTTCACCTCTCGAGGGAAAAAAATGAAGTTTTAATGTGATGACATCGTTAATGGCCATCCTTGTCTCAGTTTAGGTGTGAACTTGGGCTGAGTGTTGGAGCTTGCCTTGTTTAAATCAAACATGTACCAGCACATGAGGACATGTACAGATAATGTGTTTGAACAAGTAGATATGGCTGTTCCTAAGCACCATTAAAATTTTGCTGATGAAGTACACTGTACATGTAGGGTTCATACTGATATGCATTTAGACACCATCTACTGTACATATGGTATACTGTAGAGTTTATACAAATAAGTGCACATTATTCCAATTAATAATCATGTTAAATTGCATATT